CACACACACACACACACACACACACACACACACACACACACACACACAAATTGAGAAGTGAGGTGCAGTGCCTGGATTCCCCCACAGGGCGGCTGAAAACTTGCCTGGATACAGTAAAGGATTGAGCCCATCCTCCAATAGGAACCCTCAACTGCTGCTAATGGAGAAATGACATGAGAAGACTGCACAATCGCACCACGCTCCCACAATGCATTTCTATACCATCAATCTACAGCCTCCTTCAGTGTGAGTGCAGAGAAATGCTGGAGGCTCCCATGTACAGAAACATTGTTTAGAGTCACTTAAAGCTGCACGCTTTGCTTACAACTCTGTGACGACACCCGTCCTCTCAAGCACAATTTAACTGGGGAGTCTCCACTCAGCAGGTGTAAGTTATATGGTTTAGCAGAGCCGTGGGCCAATCAGAGCCCACGACCGCAAAGCACGACTGTCAAATTCACTCACTAGATGCTGCTTTCAAGCTCCACTTGGCATTTTCATGCAAGCGAAGCTGCAACATCGCATCTCTGCTGCTCGACACTTGTGTTCCCTCGAGAAAATGGTTGAGGTTTCTCCTCCAGACAAATCCAAAATCCTATTCCTCCTGTAACTTTCCAATCTAACCTACAAAACATCATCTTTGTTCTTATGTTGAGCTCATAGACTTTATCTAAAGATGGACGACATGAGGGCGCCCCGAAAGTGAAGCAAAAAGGGTCTCAATCTCCGCCTGGTGGCTGGCTGCAGTATAGGTCACTAAACCTGCCTCCTCCATGTTAAATAATGGGACTAAAATGTGAAATATTTGATTCTGTGTTTTCTTCTTTATTGCAGATATCACTTTGCTGGTATTTGGCTCTGTGATCAGATGCATACTGAAGACTTCACGCCTGCATAGAATCTCCATTATGGAGCATGATGGGTTATGCGAGTGTGATTATGTGCTGTGGTTTTACAGAATCACTAAGTTGGAAAGCAGAAAGAACAACAGGAGTGTGGACGACTAATAAATTCAGAAGTTGCCCTTGCATTTCAAAACTGAAAATCAATTTTAATGAGCTAATGCTACGCCTGGTAACTCAACAGGCTCAGGAGGCAAAACCATTTGTGAAATGTATTTTCATGAAGAAACGAGAATTGATTTATGTGGATTGGGACAGATCAGACAGTAAAGAGTTGTATAAATGTGTAGCAGGTCACTGATTCCTTTGTACAAACATGCTCATCATTTACTTTGATGAATAACAAGAGTAATGGCAGAATTTATAATCGGTGAGTTCTATTCTAAATCTGTTTTGAAAAAGTTAAAAAAGAAACTCCTCTGTGCTTGACTCCTCACCTCAGGCAGCCGGTGGTGTTTCGCAGCAGCAGGGACGACTGGAACTTGACCTTGTGTTCGTCGCGGTGAGAGACGGTGCTCCAGCCCGAGTGGGGGATGACGACCGTGTTGGTCAGCGTGCTCAGTGCGTCACGGATGATGGTCATCTTCACTGCGTCGCACGAGGAGAGGTTCCACAGGACACCTGCGGGTGAAGAGAACCAGTAAGGAAGATTTTTCTAAAGTGTAATTTCCTTTCCTGCTTTGGTGGGTTGCTATAGTAATCATTTGTCTATTTGTTAAAGAGTAAAATGAGAAGATTCATCATATAACATAACAATAATATAATCCTCCATCTTAACTTCTCATAAAGACAGGAAATTTAAAGAAACAGCAAACATGGCTCTGTCCAAACGCAACAAAACTTCCTCTACAACTTCTACAACTTCATCTACATCTAGATTTCAGAGGAAAAATTCAGATGTGTGAGGCCTCTCCTGTGTTTTTCTCTGTATCTGAGTCATCTAGCAGCTTCATCTCCTGGTATTTAACAGAATGTGTGGCTGGAGACGCAGTCGGCAGCATCCTGTTTCCAAAGCACTTTATCTTAGCATCTGTCCTGAGGACTGTGCTGAGATCTGTTCCGTCAACTCTCACCTCCCACAGAACAGCCGATACTCAGATTCATACATTGCAAGCCAGTCAGACGGCGATGCTCGGCCGGCCAGACAACAAACCTCGCTAGCAGGCAAACGCCCACTCACATTGCATCGCGTTGCATTTTGCATTCAGCAACTGTTTTTGTCAACACGCGTGCAGCTTTCACCTGAAGTTACTCCTTGGGGAATAAAAAGGACCTGACTCGAAAGACAAGGAGCCTACTCGTATTTTATGATCGTCTATAACTGCGTATTTAGATACAAATGTACTTATGCAAACTCTCCCCACATTTGTTTATTTAAACCACAAATTCAGACATTTAAGACAAGTCTCGCCACTTGGCAGCCATGGTTACGCCTTCGGGACGAGATTTCAGGCTAACAAAACCAGGATCCCATCTGAATATATAGATAGAGCCATGACTACATTTATTCAATGGTTACCAGGATACAGAAACTGCACGTGTGTTAAATCTGATTAAATCTGATTAAAAAAACTGCTTAAAAAGTTTGGTTTATAAAACTTTCTCTTAAATGCTTCTTATAAGCAGATGCAAGGTTTTGCTGGTGGCAGTGAAACAACCCGATTGGTTCCATGTGTTTCCTGTTCATTATAAAGCAGATGGTTGGCTTATTGGGAAGAGGGGCGGGATATGTGATTACGCAACAACCATTTTGAACATTACAGATTTTTTCTATTCAGGATTTATTAAAGGTGTATATGTGAAAACCATTAACGGTTGAAGTACCAGTGACCAGCTCGCGAACTTCGTTGTCTGTGGTTTTACGGAGGAGTCGCAGTAGCGCGGGCACGCCGCCGCAGTTCCTCAGCGCCACCTTGTTGTTGTCGGTGGCCTTGCTGTACACCAGGTTCCTCAGGGCCCCGCAGGCGCTCTTCTGAACCTCTGCCACCTTGTGGTCGAGCAGGTCAACCAGGTGCTGGATGCCGCCCAGGTGAGACACCTGCGGACCAAGGACAAATGAAAGAGAAGTTACACACTGGCTAACCTGTGACATCACTGGTGGCCATGGTCTAAAAATCTTTGGAGTCTGTTGTCATCATCATTAGTACAGAAAGATTGGTCATTTTGCAGTTTTTTTCTTTGCAAATCTAAGTTGTGACCATCATCACCATCTTGCCTCAGATTGCTGCAGCCAGACGCTGACGCACTGAGCAGAGCGCTTTCCCTCCTCCACTTTCAGATTACAGAAAAGAAATTTAATCATGCGAACGAAACGGGGGGAAAGAGGGAAAATGCATTTTGCAGCCAGAGTCACTTTTGGATTTATGTCTTTCAAATTCAAAGGGATGAGTGTCACTGTCACAAATCAAGTTTTGACAGATCCACAGGAGGTCACCTTCATTGCAGCATTTTCACCTTTTTTTTTATTCTCACCCTCACAATGAGAAGCTCTTTTTAAAAATCAACACATGTTTAGAATAAATGCATCTGTTTTATTGATTACTGATAAATTCAAGGAAGGAAATAATTAGCAAATACATTGAGAAACATATGGGGATTTTTTAAGAGTTCAGTCAGATCTGTCATTTTTCACACATCGTTTCTGTTAATCAGCAATATATTTCTTCAAATCTGTTTATGACACATTTTTTTATTTTCCCAGATTTCTTAGAATTGTTTGTATGTATTTTAATTACTGGTTGCTGTACCATGAGCTGTTATATATTAACAAATTGTGATAACATGACTCTGTATTTTCCATTTATCCGTTTATTTCGAGAAGTTGAGGGTTTAAAATGTCAATTTAAATCTCCAACACCAACTATTATATATAACTGTCAAAAGTTTTTAGTCTGTTTTGAGAAGAAGAAAAAAAAACATTCATGTGGTACTGACGTTTTTCATGAAATATTTTCTTATGAAATCTGGAGTGAAACACGCAGAGCGTCACTGTGACATGTTCAAAAACGTTCCTGTGTCATCTCGATAAACAAACTCGTCTCAGGAGAGCAGCAGACGCTCCCAGTTATTCTGTCTTCAAACCATCAGTGAAAACATTCGCCTCTAGCTAAATGAGCAGGCTCGGCTCCAGGCCACTCCGAAAGGCTAATTAAAAGCTCATCACCAGACAAACCAAATGGCACCAAAATGGCTGTGGTATGACGATGCAGCATTGTGATGTGAGTTATTTATTGGACAGGAAGTCGAGCAAAGAGAGCGCACGCAGCCATTCGCTGCATCAGAGCTTCAGCACATTTGGCACAGACGTACTTTAAGTTTTGTTGGAACAGATGGTGCTTTGGCTTCCAGTTTGGCTGTAAAGATCGAAAAATAAAAGGCAATTTCAAAGCATCTAAACTTGTTAGATAATGTACACATACACAACAGGGGATATCTGCTGGTGGGTTTAGTGAGCAACACGATCGATTTATCAAAAATATCATTCACTGTTTCATTTCTTTGCAATTTTAGATTTATTTTGTACATTGCATTGCCTTTATTTGTTTTATCA